GTAAGCATCCTGCAAATATGTGTGTTTCTTTTCACATACATCCAAGGCAGAGGTACTTCCACCCAGCACCTCATATTTTAGGTTAATAAAGGTGGCTTATTTAGAAAAAACATTAAAACCAATACAGAACAGTGAGTTTATTTGAAGAATAAGTTCAGACAGGCATGGTATAACCTCAAAGACTGAGAATTCTGGTTCCCCAGGACTGTTCTATAAAGGAAAATAAATTGTATTTCAATCATTTTTCTCTTACTCTTCTGTCCTCATTTTGGGTTTTTGATACTGGGTCCTACTTTGTAACCCAGATTAGCCTGGAACTAGCAGCAATACTTCTGTGTTGGTCTATTTCAGCAATCTTAAGAGCCTTAGGCTGAGTCTGAAACCTTGTATTCATGAACAAGGCATGCTCATAGTTTTGTGTTCCCGAAAAGACACAGGTCAGTTTTGTTTGGTAGACTGACTATGGATTGTCACTCCACCAAGTGTGGATTGCTTCTGGCACACCAAACAATCACAAACAGGTGAATAAAACAGACTGTGTTAAATTAAAAGATGGTTTCAAACCTTCTGGTATTGCTCTACTGGGAAGCAGAGCCACGTATCCTTCGTCATGGTCTGGGTCAGCTTTTGTGATGCCTGACAGAGGGATATAGTAGAAGTGAGGTTCTGTGACTTCCCAGGCCGGACTTCCCAGTTATACTCCTAGAACCCTTAGCCAGTAAGTGCGACATCTGGCCATGGGCACAGGACAAAAGACAACATGGAGAGTCAGAGATCTTCCTTTAAAAGATTATGTGTGAGGGAGGCCCTCTTGGATCTTCCAACCTATTTGTTGGCTAGATAGACATCACTAAATAAACCTCCATTGACACTGTGTGGAATTGGAGAATCATCCAGCTGACTGCAAACCAAATCCCCATCATATAGTCAAGCTCTGAGACTTGGGTGCTTTGTGATTTATCAATGGAGGGTGGGTACACACACAGTTGGGTTGTGGGACTCAGGTCTAAAGGCAAAGCCAGCTGCTGATGGAGGATGTTAGCCATGGCTTAGTCAACCCACCTGTGTGGCACTGATGAGACTCCAGGCCTGTTCCTACAGGTCATCTGTTCTAAATGTTTTCAGTCAAACTGAGCCCTTCCCTTTGTGAACACTGGCTGCGCACCAGTGGTGCCAATGTGCCTCCCAGCCAGGTGAGTGCCAGGAGCACCGAGAACTGTCTGCATATGGAAGCTGTTACAGTGTTAACGGGGTCAGCCTGGGGACAGAACTGGCATGTTTTATATTTTTCAAAGATTGTAGCTTGGCACAAGGACATGAAAATTCAAGTGTCAAAACATATACTAAGAAAGGTGACTATTTCTGGGGAAGCAGTGGGTTAAGTTTTTGGCTGTTCTTGAAATGGAAAGTGATTTTTTGGGGGGGGGACATATCAGAGCAAGCTGTTTTCTCGGCTTTGTGCTATAGGGCAATTTTAAAGCGTCCAAGTGCTTTCTGTATTTTTCAGTCACTCAAGTCCGGAACTGATTATCTCTCAGATTCATGCCCCTGAAGCCCTTGTCTTTCAGGGAGAGGTTTCACCTTGAAAGCTGGTGCCCAGATTCAGAAAGCGCCTCTTGCTACAGCAGCAGGAGCAAACAGCTTAATTGCAGCTTAGCTCCACAAGGACCAGGTGTTTTGGAAAATCACTGATGGCCCAACTCAGAGACAACCCAGATTCACTTTTCCTTATCTCACAGAAACAAAACACAACCTCCCCTCCAAGCAGAAAAACAAAAACAAGCCCTTTCAGAAACTGAATCCTCCCAATTGAAGAGACACTTAGGCTTCTCAGACCTGTGTGTGGATAAAGGCGCTTACAGCACGCACACACATATACATACCACAACACAGACACACACATTTATACACAACACACACAGAACACACACAAACACACACATAGATACATGCACAACACACACACACACACACACCACAAACACAACATACACAACACATACAGACACACACAGACACAAATACAGACACACACAACACACAGACACACAACTTGCAGAGACAACACACAGCACACACCACACAGACACACAACACACAGATACTACACACACACACAAAACACACAGACACACAACATACACAACACATACACACACACAACATACACACAACACACACAACACACAACAACACATACACAACATAAACACAACACACATACAACATACACACAACACACACATAGACAGATACACAACACACATAGCCAGACACACAACATGCACACACACACTTACTTAAGATAGAATTTCTCTGAAAGGAGCCCCAAGAACTTGATAATGGTTTCTTTGAGGGAGAATTGGGGACTGGAGAAAACTGGGGTGGACAGTGGATAGAAAAGGAAAGCTTGTTTTTGACGACAATCCTTTGAACACCTCAAAGCTTGACCCCCACCCCCACCCCACACACTATACTAGCTCATCACAATAATGTATGTGAACAACCCCAAACCCGGTTAGTATGTTGGCAGCATTCTCTGTGTATTCATACCTTCAGTCTTTATATAGCTTTACAATGCAGACATCATGATCATTCTGATTTTATAGGTGAAGAAACTGAGATAGGGACAGGTAGCTTGTTCAAGGTCACATAGCTAGTAAATGCAGATGTGGGATCTAGAGTCAGAATGTCTGGACCTGGGGCCTTTCCTCTTTACCATATAATATTGCCTTTTCAGAAATCAAACTCCTCAGCAGCTGCCATGGCAGAGCCAGGACAGAAACAACCATTCTTTTCTCAGTTGATTCTCTAGGGCAACAGAGGTAGACAAGATGGTGTCCCCAAATAGCCCATGATCAATTCTTTGACAGCCTCAAGCCTGAATTGGCTTTCAGGAGACTTTAGAACTGAGCCTTAGTAGCAATGATGTGCTGGGTGCTCTGCTAGGCTTTGGGGACAACTGCTGAATGACACAGTACCCATGCTCTCAAGACCCTGGACATTAGGAAGCAACCACTCGGACTGCAATGGGTGCTGAAAGGAAAGCGGAAGAGGAGCATGCATAGGTGAAGGTTGGAGGCCCTGGTTTGTGCTGGATGGTCAGAGGGCTGAGGGGTGGGAGGGGGGACATCAAGGGAAAGTGGGAGATGGGTGGAAAGAAGGAAGAATGTTCTGGTGGTAAAAACAGCTAAGACAGTAAGACTGGTGAGAGCAACTATCTGAATATGAGACCCCCACACGACTAAATGAAACAAGTCCAACCAAATTTGCAATGAGATACTTATCCTGGTGACTGTGGTGAGGGTTTCACAGTTTTCCTAAGAACCCTAGTAAGCCACTGAAGGTTGTTAAGTAGGTGGTTACATAACCTGGTTGGCTTTTAACGATGACCTGGGCTGCTGTGTGGGAAACAGGAGGAAGCTATGCAAGAGGACCAGCTCTAAGGCTGCAGAGGAAGCAAAAAGATGGCCAAAAGAACATGATGGCAAAGGGTGAGCAGTAGGCACATTTGGGATCTCTGCTGGTCATACAAAGGAGAATAATGCAGTGTTGTGATGGATCATAAATTCATGAGCATGAAAATGCTGTCAACTGTAAAGAGTCCAATAAAGAAAAGTGCTATGATAGATGAAGAAGCCAGATTCTAGAGAGAGAGACCTTAACTTGCCAGAAGTCACATGGCTGCATAGTGGCAGGATGTAGGAGTAAGTGAAAATGATTCCTTCCTCCTTTTGTTGGGGATGAGAGAAAGGAAGGATAGAAGTTGTGTCTAATTCCCTTATCAACTGGACCATTGGGTGAACAGAGTGATGATATCTCGGCTGTCCCAACAGCGATCACTTCCTTCAGTTAAAACCAGGAGTGTGGAGCATGGTTTCTTGGGAAGCATCATGACAAGTCTACTCTAGGAGTAGATGGGTGCTTTGTAACTGAGATGCTCTGTGTTTTGAAGTGGGATGTGACCTGTGGTCTTCACTTATTATTCTAAGAAGATGCTTGTGTCCAATGGGATAGACAGGGTCTGAGGAGCTGGTCTTTGGATTCCCAGTTGTCCTTTATACCATGTAAGTCTTGAGTACCTCTATCTTGGAAAGATCTTGGCAGAGGTTGATTTTCGGTAAGATATCTGATGTATGCAACATGACAGACAATCAGATCCCCCCTGTCTGTCCAGTGACACGTGCCTACTTCTTAGTCTACTCATCCCACAGTCTCTGTTTGCTTCCTTGGGAAGGATGATAAGGTTCAGGAATGGAAGGATAGACTTGTGTGAACCTCATGCTCATGGCAGAGATCTGATCACTTATTTATTTTTAGCAAATTCTACCTACAACAAGAATCATATTTAGGATACCTAATGCAATGGAAGAAAAAAAAGGTAGGTTTGGCTTTTTGACTAAGTAAAATTGGAAAGACATAATACTGGCTTCTTTATGATAGGTCTTACAATTGCCCTGAGAGGTCTCCAATGACTGGTCTCAAGGAGTTACACTAGTCTCTTTGAATGCTTAGATGCTACCCCAACCTACCTGCCAAAGTACCATGCATGTCACTGGTCTTCAAAGAACATCATTCCCTAAATCATTCATAGACCTCCTCAGGAATAGAGTTCTTTTTCCTATTCTTTTTAAGGTACACAATTTATCTTCACAAACAATTTTGTTTTGAAAGTGATAAAGGGAAATACTGGACAGGAGGGAGACCTTTCTGTCCCTGCCTCATAACAAACTGTGTTTATGCCAGAGGCATCAAAAGACAGAATCAGTACATGGAACTCATATTCTACTCCTGGTATAAAACCACCCTGCCAGGAACTGAGCAGTGGTGAATAAAGCGCATGGCAGAGTCAAGGTTTCAACTAACGATGTTAACCAAGAGGAGTTTGACAGGTGCGTGTAACCTCACCATAATATGCTTTTTTTTTTTTTTTTAAAGCAAAGCATTTGACATCTTTCTCTTCCCAAAACAACAATCCCAAACCAAAGCCTGATGGTTACCTTCAGCGAGTGGGTCAAGGGTGTGTATCATGAGCTGGAAGATGCTATTCCTCATGAGACTGTTGTGGAGGGAGGCAGAACTTCCACCTCGTTGGAGGCGCGGCTTAGCCTGAGCAGAGAAACCAAAGACACTATTAGTTCTCAGAAATGAATGTCAAGTGCATCCCAGAAAGTAGCCTCATCCAGCCTATGGCCACTCATTTCCATTATTCGATCATATAGAGTTGAACCAAAGAATTTCAAAGTATCTTTCAAATGTCCCAAGGATGTGGCTTTTCTACTACATGAATCCATTTTTCCCACCCTCTGTGCCCTTTTAACAAAAGAGGTTAGTATAAGGCAGGCAATGTGTGGCATGCTTCACACCATTCACTCATTAAGTTCTCAGAATGAGCCTCATGGGATCAACACTGTTAGTATTAACTTGAAGTCTCTGACAAGTGAAGTGAGGTTCTGGGTCACACAGACAAAGGGTGTTGGATACAGGTGTGGATTCCAGGCTTGCTTTTCTTAAAGACTCTTCATAACCTAGCAGACAGTCTTTAAAATTTTTGGATTGTGTATCCTATCAGCAAGATCTTTGTCTGTATCTGTGTCTGTGTCAACAGACATGCCTACATCTATATCATCTTACATGTTTTTTGGGGTTCCTATCTCTAGCCTTTGATCCAGAAAGTTCTGTGGTACATGTTAAGTGAGAACCTGAAAGGGAGTTTCCTGTAGTGACTTCATACAGACCCTTCCTGGCTTCCAGGAAGTTTCCATGGCACTGAGTCCTTCGGGTTGTGATATTTTACTCCAATAGCTGGAACTAAGATATGAGGACCCTTGCGAGGTTGAGGAGGTGGGATTACCAACAAACTTTTACTTTTGTCTTCAAAAGCAAACAGTCTTAAAACAAACCAAAGCCACCCAAACCTCCTTTATTTGGACAGCTTTTTAATCCTGACTAGACATTACATTCTTCTTTGTGGTTGGCTTTGTGATGGTGGGCACAGGGGACTTAGAGGCAGACTTGAGGAGGAGACCCACTGTAAGTAGATTAATTTCTCTTTTAGTTTGTTTTATTTTTCAAGACAGGGTTTCTCTGTGTAGCCCTGGCTGTCCTAGAACTCCCTATGTAGGCCAGGTTAGCCTTGGATTAATAGAAATCTGCCTACCTATTCTTCCTGAGTGCTGTAATTAAAGGTATATGCCCCCATGTCTGATTTAGATCTTTTTAAAAAATTGAACTCTTGGTCCAAAAACTTGACAAGAAAATTTTCTGTGGTCTGGAAAAATTAAAAAACCCCATTTTCACCAAGTCTTCCAAAATTCTCCATCACAGATATTCCATGAGACTCTATAATTAAACACATTTGGACAGGGTGAGGTCTTCTAGAATAACCCATCCTTAGAATAACTCATCTTTAGAATACTTACATCAGATATCAACCCTGTGTAACACAAAAGAAATATAGTTCCAAGTTACTGGCCTTATGTCTCTTACACCATAAAATACTTACTAAGGTTTATGGTTCAAAAATTTGGTGGTAAACCTAAAACCTATTGCAAGATTGAAGTGTGGGTAAAACCTCAGAATATACGGGCGGTGGTGGCGCATGCCTTTAATCCCAGCACTCGGGAGGCAGAGGCAGGCAGACTTCTGTGA